TATATATATAAATACAGAAAATAAGTACATACAGAGAGGAATACTACATATTAAGAAAGGTATAAACTGAATAGCTGCCTCTCTTAATCTCAGCTAGATGAGGTCCTTCTCACAGCCTAGCCAAACTCCTTTCTTGTTGAGCAGTGCTGACTGTTGCTATATAACCATTAACCTCTCCCTAAACTGCCAAAACAAGCTGCTTCTAAATGTATCAGCAGTTCATGAGATTTTATGTTTTTTACAACCCTCTTCAGTGAGAATATGCTTTTCCAGAAAAGCTGGGTGGGATGTGAATGATTTGCTGCCAAATTCCAGTCCCCTTGCAAGATAGGGCCGTGATAGCTATTGTGTACTAAGAAAGGAAACTCAGTGCCAACATACTCAAGGGCTTCCTTCAGGCCCAGGAGAGCAAGGACTGCTCACTGAATCCCTCATCCCAAGGGGCAGCTTGCCCCTTCCCTGCTTTCCAGGGCGGTACATTGTAGTAGGTATAGACATGTACACAGAAGTAGTTTTCCCTCCCTTTGCCTCTTTGTGAACCCATACACAAAGTCAGAACAGACCCTGGGAGACTGGTCTGTCACAGGCAGGTGGGTGCCTGCAGTGCTCTGTGCAATAGAGTTGCTATGGCACGTCCTGTGTGCTGGGGGCAGAGACTCGCTTGGCTCCTCCAGCACTAGAGCCATTGAATCCACCAAATATCATTTCCATCTCTTCTCATGTAACTGTTTTCTTCAAACCAGAAAGACCCCCACAAACTTTCAGAACAGCAAGAAGCACTGTGTGACGGCCAGAACCCGCTGCCCATCTATGTGTCCGTCAATGTCCGGAACAGCTACAGCACCAACGATTTCAAAGGTAAGAATGATGTTTCAGATCACATGGGGCTGTAACTGCAAATGGACTCTTGGGATTCACTCTTCTCTGCTTGGTAGGACTTGGACAAAACAGTCCTGGTGTGTTAGTTGCTTCTTGAGACATAACTATCATTTCTATGCCTTACAGTTTTAACACAAGGGCTTTTTGAGATCAGCATTTCACTGTCTAGACATACGCAGTGGAAATCCTGCCAGAAAGGCCATTTTCGAAATACTATCTGTTCCATCTAAAATGAAAAGTATTGGAATTGTCTGAGAACTAAATACTGCTTTTTGTCAATGCCCAGTTATATTTTCAATATGAAGAAAGACCATGTATTTATGGTAAAGTTTGGGAAAGCATCCAACCTGCTCCCAGCTGAATCTTTTCCTTTGTTCGGGTTCTTATTATTTTTTTGCACAAGGAGAAGCAGCTGGAGGAGGAGAAGAGGCAGAGAAGAAATTCAGATCAAATTTTTTCCAATCGAGGTGAAAAAATGAACCACTTCTAAACAAAAAGGAAATTATGGTCCATGACCTTTCTGTCCCAGTCTTTGTTCACACTGCATTTATATCATATCATTATAGAATGGTTAGGTTTGGAAAAGACCTTAAGATCAGACAACTGCACTTCACTTGAGGAGGGTGTCTGAGAATTTCTAGTTCTGTCTTCCCTAGTACTACACACCAAGACTTTAATTGGCCTTTTTATAAAAAACTGATTTCTGAGGAGCTGAGTACCTGTCTGCACATAACCAAATTATTCAAGGGAAGTTGAATCAATTGTAGTGATAACAGTGGAAGTATTTTCACCTAGATATGGTGTACGCAAGGGCAGAATGAAACCTCGTGCATGCTGGAGAACCCTGGATTGGTGCATGCACACAGGGTGTGTAAGAGCTGGAGCCTTGCTGTGCTCCTGGCACGCACTTTGTGCCATGGGCAGCAGCACCATGAACAGCATTAACCGCTCCTGCCCCCTCATTGTCACAGTGTCTGAGCTCAGCTGCCTGGCCCTGCAGGCTGTCATTTGTAAGCAAGGCTTGGCAAACACAGCAGAGCAATCAGAAGTCAGACTGATGTATGCCCTTGCTGCCCCTCTTTCCACACTCACCCGAGAGCCCACTAAGAGTCCTGTTGTGCTGTTTTGCAGAGTGGGTGGAATTCACCCCCTACGAGGTGGGACTTCCGAAGTACGGTGCATTCGTTCGCACAGAGCATTTCGGAAGTGAGTTCTTCATGGGACGCTTGTTAAAAAAGCTCCCCGAATCCCGGATCTGCTACCTGCAAGGTGATGTATTGCGTTGTCCTGGCACAGAGGCGCTTTGGAGGGTTGCAACACTGCTAACTAGAGGGTGGATATTTCTGGTCTAAGGTACTGAATGTTGCAATGATAGCACTTGCTGGCAAATGGACATGTGCAGTAGTCTGTCCAAAAGAATACAATAAAAAATCCTGCATCTTTTTTTTTCAGTTTCTCATCACTGTCTTGGTATGTACATTTTTTTTAACATTAGAGATGGAGTAGATGAAGTTCCCCAATACTTTCATTGTAAGGAATAGTTCCCACTTTGGTTATTCCTTTGATTTGTCTCTGAATGCATTCCAGCAAATTTTGAGACAGCAGGAAACCTGCAGCTATGCTTCCACTGTGAGGTTTAACTTCAACTCCATGCAGAGAATCCTACCTAGTAAAGATGCAGGCTGCCCAGGACAGAAAATAAGACCAGAAGCAAAGGGTCTCTGAATCTCTCTGGTCAGTCCCTGGTTGTGTATAAAAATATATACAGGGTTGTGTATAAAAATGATAATACCCCTTCACCAAGAAGTCAATCACTGGAAAGTGAATACAGAGCAGTGTGAGTTTGGTTTCAGTCATCTCTTACACACATGCTGCTTAGAAGGTCCTTGGTTTCAGCTGTTATGTTTAAATAGTCCATAATACCAAAGAATATCTTTAAAATACTACCACTTGGGCTGGCCTTTCTTACCTGGCCCATTAGTGGGAACTTAATTTTCTGCATACTGTGTATGCTCTACTGGCTTCTGTCACCTGCTGAAAATTAAGAAGTCTAATTGTGTTAGACTGATTAGAACACATATTTATATTTACAACGGTAAATGAAATGGTGGCATTGTGTCTTATCAATAAAGACATTAGTTCCTCTTGTGGCGAGACAGAAAGGAGCAATCCTAAGTGTCAAAAAGAGTGAACAGTGGAGCAGGAGCCCCCTGCATCTGTGAGCTTTTACATGCTGCGGTGTGAGATCTTCTCTTGCAACCCAAATAGTCCAGGAGCCAGTTCATCCTGCTGTGAAAGAGGTCAGGGTGCATGAAAGCTGACCAGAGCATGTGCAGAAAAAGAGAAGCTGGAGTAAGGAAGACGGGGATAGAGAGGATGTTTTTGTGATGTCTGCATTACCTGAACTCCTATTTCACTTCTCAAGCAAGTGTTTTTTTCTCCTTTACTTCTCTTCCATTCTTCTCTCTCTTTACTGTGCAGTAGACCCATGCAGTAGGTTAGGTGCAGAACTGAAGGCAGCACAACCTGAACCAATGCCATGGAAAGTTAAGAGGAATTTAACAGCCCAAAAGTTTAGAGATGTTTGAATTAGACTCATTCAAGAATTAATCCAGGAGGTGAGGATAGAATGGAAAAAAGTTTCTTGTTAGAACATGTCCCTGTGTTCACTAATCCTTTTTACAGGTATGTGGAGCAGTATATTTTCTGTGAACCTATTACAAATATGGGGATTGTCCCACAGTTCAGAGGACTTCTGGAAGAGATGGACACAAGACAGAATAGAAGAAGTTGGTGAGACTTTATTAAGCTTTTCATTTGTGGTATATCATTCTTCTGATGTCTTTTGGTATCATCCTAGCAACTACACTGAAGCCAGCATCGTACGATCCTCTTAAGAGATAGTGACTTCCCCTCCAACTGTAAAGGCTAAGAGGAAGAGGATAATCAGGGAAATGCTGGTCTAATTACTAGACTTATTAAAACTCTACTGATTAAAAAGCTCTGTCCTTAAGAGGAAGTTTTAGTGGGGTCATCATTTCTCAGGAAGTGTTTTGGCATTGCACATTCTCACTCAGCCATACAGAACCTGGAACCAGTGTCAGAGAATAGTGATTTTTACTGCATCTGCAGAGAATAAACCTGAGTATGAACTGCTTAACCAATATTTCCTGGGGTTTTAATTTGTTACTGAATACATGAATTACTTTGTTGGATTCATCCTGGTACAAAGATAAATGAGGCCCAGAGGGTTTTTTCTGAAGCAATATAGAAACCATGGTTTTGTTGCTGAATCATTTAATATGATAGTAACTACAATTACAGACATCCTGAAAACAAAGACATACATCTGCGTAATCACGGAAACCACCAAGTCTTTCCTGCTGCATTGTCAGCCACTTGTTCTGGCAAAGCAGGTTGTGATTTCAAGAAACCACACCTCGTGCTGTTTCTACTTTTCACCCACATATGCTGCCATGTAGCCACCCTGTAGTTTCTAAATACGAAATGTATGCCCCAGGTTTTCCTGGGATGCTGACATTCTACTGATTAAGCTCACATTCATGTAGCCATGGGTGATTGATTATCAGATAGAAGCTGCTGCTGTTGAAATAGACCCTGTGGTGCCCTGTTGTTGCCCATCTGAGTAAGCGGAAGCATATGCTTCACCGCCATTCTCTCCATGCTTGCCTCTGTTTCCTGGTATCTTCTTGTGAGGATATGTAACTTTCTGACAAGACACTCTGAATCGCCTAATTTCCTCAAAGGTGTCCCTTTACCAGGACTAAAGACTGCTTCTGATGAACTGTCCTCAGGCCAAAGCCTAAGACCATCAGCAGATGTTTGTCCAGCAGCCACTCATCTCGTTCAGAGTAGTTTTTGTGTGTTAAATGAATCATTCCGAGATCTCCTACACACCAGGACAACCAGAAATGAACACTGGTTAACAACCAGTTCACCAGTTTTTCTCCCCTCCTCTAGATGAAGACCCAGTGTTGCCCACAAGACCCCACGAGCTGCGGACTCGCATGTACACTCCTCCTGGCCCCCTGTCCAGTGCCCTTCGGGGAGCATTGACCGACCGCTTCTCCGTGGCCCAGCACCACAACTTCCTGAAGGGCTACCAGCTGCATAGCAACTACATGGAGAATGAGCACTTCTGTAGATGGAAAGGTAATGGGGACTTAATAGGCATCATTTTCAGGTGGTTTTGGGGTAGGGAATTTAAGAAGGAATCCTGTGAGATTTTGCAAGGAAATAAAAATCTCCTGAAAGAACATTTCTTTTCTGAATGGAGAGAGGAGATTAGGACTTCACTGTTACCAGCTATTTAAGACTTCTTAAATATAAGCATGTGTTTATGTGTTTTAGCTAAGATCTCTGTGTTCCAAACTGAGAGGGTAGGCTTGCAGCTGACAGAACCAAATTTGAAGTAGCAAATAGCAGAGCGAACATGGACAAAAGCTTAATTTAGCAAGACTGTGCTTCTAACTTCAGTTGCAACTGGAAATCCCAGGAAATACCACCTATGAGAGAAAGGTAGAAAGGAATGTGGCTTTGTAGCCCAAAGAAGAGGGAGAGGCATAAATCCAAACGTAAAAAGGGATGGGGATATTGTGTTCTACAAATCAGTAATGGATAAAAGATGAAACAATGATTGAAATGAAGAAAGGCAGGTTTAAGTTATCTATTAGTAGTTTACTGGCCCCAGTGAATATGGCAAATTACTGGAATTTGTTGCCTGGAAACTCAACATAGAGGATTTTTCAGAACAGGAATTTAGGTGGCATTTTGCAGTCCTTCCCATGTCTATTTGACTGCAATAGTATGGCAATTAAACTAAACAGGCCTCTGGGACAGTCAGTTCCATGTTGCATTTCTTTTTCCAGTCAAAATACCTGCAAATCATTTATTATTCCAAGAAAAACTTTCCTTTTAGACACTGTGCTAGACTCACGTCCCAACCAGCTGATGGAAAACTCTGATCACCTGGGCATGATAGATGCTGGATTTTTCATCAATACCAGCAGTCCACCACTTTTAAGGCCACAGAGGGAAGTGGATGTCATCATATATTTAAGTTATACTACTGGATCACATACGTCGGTGAGGAGGATCTTAATATTGCCCTGTCTTGTTTCTCCTTTTGTTGTGAATGTCTAGCCTGTAGTACCTAGAACTGGTAGTTATTTTGGCTGTTCAGTTTTTAACTACTGCATTCCCTTACATTTTTTTCTGTACTGATTAATACCATTCCTATCTCTTCCTGCCATTCCTGCAGTCTCTCTTGCTGGTTTATGAACATGTTGAATGTTCATTATTCAAGAGGATATCAGCATGGTCTCTTCCAGAATGATGGGAAGAGCCTTTTCTGTTTTATGCTGAATCAAACAGGTTTCCAGACCATGCATAGGAAGATGAATAAGGATGAGGAGGTGATTTATCCTGACTTTTCATTTCAGCCTCATCCATTGTCTAGATTAATCTTACAAAGAAAGGCTGCTGCAATTTTAAGTGCTTTAGTATAAACTGTTTCCTATTTTAGAGTGTCTATTATGAGATAGTGCAAAGTGAATAACACAGTACATAGTAGGACATGATATTGTATTAAACATTTCAGGGAGAAGGTACAGTATAGCCTAGCATTTCAGACTTTCTCAATAAAATATCAGTCTCAATTAACACTGTTAATGCCTGCACAGGCAGAGACATGATTGCACATTCAAGCTTAACTTTCTTATCTCCTGGCTTCCAAGCATGTAATAAGGTACCTTAAACATTTTCTTGCTGTTGTTTTCTAATTAATTTGATACAATATATTTAAACACAGGTTCACTCCTTTACAAAACTACATGCTTTACACTAAACTTCTGCAAATTGTTCCCATTTTTTAAAAAGCAGTGTCCTGGATGTATTCTCTAACTGAAATTGTGTTTACAGCTTGTGATTAGCATTCTGGTTACTATCTGTGGTAATTATATGTGGAGTAACGCTTGATAAGAGGGAACTTATCCTATGGATCTGAGTCACTAAACCTTAACACTAGATAACAAGTTGGGGGTTTTAAGACAACCAGATTGAAATCTAGTGCTGACCATTTCTGTGATACCCCAGTCTCTAGATAAGGCGTATAAATACTACTCAGAGCAGAAAATCCCATTCCCCAAAATTTCTTTGACTGAGGAAGACAAGAAAAACCTGAAGGAGTGCTACATCTTCCAAGATTCAGATTTGCCAGGATGTCCGATTGTGATTTTTCTTCCCCTTGTGAATGATACCTTCCAAGAGTACAAAGCACCTGGTAAGTTACAAGTAGGGGCAAAGCATTAAACAAAAGACATCGCTACCTGCTTTTCTGACTCAGACAGAGCCTTTTTCTCTGCTGCTGGCTGACTTTGATAGCTGAGTTCATGGGGGAGCACTTTTAAGTAGTTAAACTTCTTTTCCCCATCCCTGCCAATGCTACTGTGTTTACTAATGTCATTCTTGTGGCCCTACAAGGACAGACCCAGCTCTCAGATTACTTACCCCTACATATATTGTCTATTATCCAGGGATTTCATTCTACACTTGAGGAGGCATAGTGTCATGTATGAATGGTGGGGGAGCAAGAACCTGCCTTTCAGACTGAACTCCTGCAGTGTCAAGATCAGTATACCCATGGCCTGTCATTCTTTTTCTGCCAGGCCACCTGCTTTGTATTCCTCTCCTTTACTGTCAATTACTAGGATGCATTTGCTTTTCTCCTTGGCAGCAGGGAGGTAAAGTCTAAAGTTCTGCTTTTGAGGAATTTGGGAGACACAGGAATGGAAAGGCAGAGATGGATCCTGGTGGCAGCCCCCTGGGACTGCATTCAGGATTGCAGGAACTGAGTTTCTGGATGTTTCTTACTTCTTTCTCACAAATTCTATTCTGTTACTAACAACTCACCTCCCTCAGCCAGGGAACATAATGGTCCCAGCTGCTCAGGACAAAACCTGCAGTGCACTGGCTATTGGAGTACCCTTTCAGGCTGATATCCTTGACTGATCCATGGATTTAATGAGGCACACGTTTGAGTAAGCTGTAGATGACCATTACAATGCCATCCCTCACTTCCTTCTTCCCTCATCACGTCAGACACACAATGTTCCCTTGACCAGGGGTGGGGATACATGACCTGCATTATTTGTACATTTAAGCCCTATAAACTTCCTTCCATAGAAAAGCGCCCCTCTTTGGGCTGCTGTGGACAGCTTGTCACTGACTGAGATAAACACCATGTCACTTCTTTCCCTGCAGGTGTCAAGCGCTGTTGCTCAGAGATGGAGGAAGGACAACTTGATTTGAACAGTCGTTTTTCCCCCTACTGCATGTTCTCGGTCAGGTACACTGACGAGAATTACCGCCGGCTTGAACCTCAGTGAATACAACATCCTGAACAACTCTCAGATGATTATGCAGGCCTTGCAGATAGCGATGGAAAGGAGAAGGCAAAACATGTGCTAATCATCCCACCAGCTGCCCCTATCTTCTCAGACGAGTTTTTCGTGCTCTAGGACACAGAAGGGACATACGGTGGCCGTTCTGCACTACAGAAAGAAACTACTCAGTGGTTTGTTGGAGTTATTTTTCCATTCCCACGAAGTGGTCTCTAAAGGCAAAGACATTGCCTGGGACATTTTTACATATGCTTTGTTCCCTAAAGTAAGGTTGTCTGTGATCACTCTTTACTTAAAATCCTTGATAGATTTTTTTTAAATTAGTGTTACTTATTGTGACTAACTTATTATACTGTGTGATATATAGATGAATAATTTTTAGCACCATAGTGCTACAGTGGTACAACCCAGCCGACACACCTACAGGCTGTAAGAAGGGGGTATAAACTTCTCCCCACAGTTCTTCTTTGTGGAACACAGGGTGCATCCAACCCTGGAAAATGAAGAAAACCTGAGACACGACTGGAAGATGGCATTGGATCCCTGCGTCAACTCTGTTTCGCAAGTGTCCTAAAGAGCAGCTGCAGAGGTTGGAAATGTAAGAGGGACAAGTGTGTGCACACAGGTGGCCCCATGAATCACCTCCACCTCCTGAGCTCTCTTAGGCTATATATAGATGGGAAGGCGCTACTTAGGAGGAAGTGGTGTAAGGTTTTTTAAAGCTAAAGGTGTAATTTGGGTACATCCAAATTTCCTGTGAATTTATATCACAGGTTTGATTGTTTTGTGTTGAGCCAGTATATAAAAAAGTCAACAGTTTATTTTGAAGCTTTCAAAATAAAACACGCTGGATTTTTCTTCCCCAGTTGAGTTACTTCTCAAATTAAACTTCCTTTCTTAAATTCAAAAGAAAAAGTGCTTGAAATCAAAATATTTTACTTCCAGCAGACAATGAAAACTTTGTTGTTTTACTCAATGTAATTTGTTTAAATAGTTTAAGACATATGCTTGTCAACAGAAATGCTTATTTGTTTAGTCCTGCCTGTTCAAGCTGTTCAGATAAGCAGGAGTGAGTGGCCTGCAACAACTAAGACCATCTTAAAACACTCTGAACAGATGCTCCACTGAATCTAGCACAAAATCACCATTAACATTTGTTGTGGGTTTGCGTTTTTAAACTTTCTTCATTTTCCCTTTTATGGAACATATCTTTTCTGAACTGTTGAAAGTGCTGGGGGTGACCTGTAAAAATTATAAGTCCGTAACAACCTTTTCATTCCAGGAGCAATTCAAATCAAAAATACGCTTCTTTTATTAATAAATTCTGTGTCCTAATGACAACTGGTGAAAGTTTGAACAGAGAGTCTCTTCACTGAAAAAAATAAATCTATCCACTAGATGTCATAATCCAGGACTAAAATAAACTAGAGAAAATGCTTGGGGTAAGTTGAAACATTTCATGCTAATGTTCTATGAAAATGCCTTTTTTTTTAACAGACTGCCTACCTCGTCAGCCCAGGGAACCGAACCTGAAAATAACAGGTTTCATTTACAGTCAAATAATGTTTGGCTTGGTGCAAAATGACACTGTGAGGATTTTCATTTTGGCAAGAAACAACAACAAATTATCTCTACAACTTGGTTCACAATGATTTTTGCCAACACTTTTGTCATTTATGATGTCAGACCAAACCTTACCTTTTTTGTGCAACTGTAGCCTAGTGTTGCAAGCCTAAAGATCAAGGCATAAATGTTAACTTTTGAAACTCTTTAGGTTTTGAGCAAGTACATGCTTTTGCTGGGATTTTTTTGTTCTATGGTAGTTTCACTAGTCATAATCAGAAATATGGTGCTATGTGCTCTGCATATAACCCTGGGAATTGCCTCCATCTGAACCTGAAATCCCTGGTGTGAAAACATAAGCAGAGTTCGCGGCCATAAACTCGTACCGCCTCCGGCTCTGAAGAAATGTTATTTACATGCAGATATTTTGTGTATACAATACTGGACAATAAAGGCTTGTTTGCAAAATGGTAATTCTGCCTTGCTTCACATATTCAGCTATTTCAGTAATATGCTCCAGGTTCACAGTCTGTTCCTTGTTCCAGGAAAACAAAACTGTTGTTATCTCTGCAAAGAGCATAAGAGCATAGAAAATACTTGCTGTGAGTGTCGTGGATAAAGGAATGTCTGAGATAGCTTGCAAGGGTACAAAGTGAGCCACAGTCCCTTCCTGCCACAGGGCTGTCTCTGATGTGGATTGCCAATGTTATCCATGAAAATGAGAGCTTTTTGGACACTGGCATTGTGGGAGCAGCCGTCTCAGAGCTCCAGACCTGGTGGACAGTCCGGTTTATAGATTAGCCCTCCAAGGAGATGTTGTAATAAAGCATTGCCTTTAACTATGACTGAAAGACGCCAAAGTTGCCAAGAGTTCTCTGTGACCTAATGAAAAATGCATTTCATTAAGCTACATAATTGCAGCTGGCACATGGAGGAACCATGCCATGTATGTAGACACAATCCTTCACGGTGTTGTGAAGTAACATAGCCTATGGCAAAAACTTATTCTACCAAGTTGACTATGATGACTGTTGACACTATTTTGCATGGGAATGTGTGAAGGGAGGCTGTGCTGGCTGGTAGCAACATTTAACCAGTAAGTTCAAGAATGCTTAGGGAATGGGTAACTTTTTGCTCACAGACAACCTACTGGGAGAGCAGGGAAGCCAAAGGATTCCCTTCCCTTAGAGGTTTTGATCTGTTATGACCTGCTAAAGATACAACAGTCTTTAGCTGTCCCTTTTAATCCCGTTCCAGTGAGTTGGGAGTTGTGCTGGTTTCAGTGGTATAGGAGGCATATCGGTGCTCACAGGGCGGGCACAAGTGTCCTGCACCAGCTTCACAGGTGTGCCAAGGATGGTGCAAAGGATGGAGTGCAGTCAGTGTTGAGTTTTGCCTCTGGCTGGCAGAGTTCATTGGGTCAAACATGGGCTCTTAAATGCAGCAAGATTACAGTCAGAGTCTGAGCTGGAAAGTGGTGCAGAAGTATTAATGGGGGGTGGAGCTAAGCTAAAGAAAGTCATTGCTTCACGACTCTTCATCTAAACAAAAATAATACAAAGTCATAGGAAAGAAGGGGGAAAGAATATAACTTAAGGAGAGACACAACCCTGCTGGACCAAGGCTGAGTACATATGAACCATCATATGTGCATGTCTGCTCTGCACATGTAGACTTGGGATTGTAGGGGCATGTGGTAGCCTTAAACTGGCTTTTGCAAGAACCAGTTTAGTCTGAGAGCAATAGTGTTGTCCCCTTTCTTTTTTTCCTTAGCTGTTTTATCCTGTCTGCTTACTGTCATGGATAATCTACATCTAATTTATGTACTGTTGCTGCATTTTATTGCAAAGTGTGTATTTCTGTAGTCTTTGAGGTCTCACTAAGCGGAAAGTTCAGATAAAAGGGCATCTTCTTCTTACCATTGGTTATAAACTTGCTGTTGGCCAACACTGGGCAAATGACTCAAACTGCACACTTCCTCCTGCTCTAGACGCAAAGGTATTCCTACTTACTTGACCACAGAGTTCAGCTTCCTAGCATAAGAAAATGGGAGGAGAATAGCTGGGTTTAAGAAATCAGGCAGAGGTGGGGCTCTGAGTCAGTTTATAAAATAGTTGCTCACCTGCATATGAGACGCTTAAACTATTGGCGTCTGTGGAAGCTGGGAGATGTGAAATTACATTGTCAGAGATAACACTGGACGTGTACATGACAATGACCACAGTGGAGCAAGATGGTATTTTGTCTCAGGTAAGAAGGGTGCAGAGCAAAGAAAAGCAGCTGGGATCTCAGCTATTTATGCTGCACATAGTGTAAAGATGGGACTACATTTTTGACTTTCCATTGACTACAAATAACTGCACAGGATGGAGAAAGTCAGTGCTGCAGGAACTTGTTATCAAAATTTTAAAAATCATAGGAAACCATGGGAAGGAAGTGAAAACTACTTGGGCAGTAAAAGTTTCTTTACTAAGGGAACATTTTGTGTATTAGAGGTTATCTTAATTTTAGAGATGTGATTTGTGCAACCTTAGAATACATATTAAATAGAAATGCACTTCAAGGTGAAAGATTAACAACAGGGTGTGTTTACGGGAGACTGTTCCTTTAACAATCAGTGCCAGGAGCCTTCCCTCTCCATGTGTCATGCAAAGGGTGGACCTTACCTGGCTGCTACGCCTCTTCCCAGGCTTACTGGGGCAAGCACTGAGCAGGCATCAGGAATCACCTGTACAGGCTCTACAGCCAGCACTGACTATAGGCTCCTCTTCACTGCTGCTCTGCAGTTCTCAGTTCCTGATGAAGATAGCTTTTAAGAAACAGGATGGTTTTTCCAGGGGTGATGTTGTCCCTTCTTGTTGCAGGAGGTGACCCCTCAAACCGCTCGGCTAGAAGAAGGAACTATGTGGCTGTCTGCTGAAGAACAACAAACTCCTGTTATGAAGGTACCACAAAGGAGAATTTCAAAATAAAACTGTAGAAGAGACTTTCCTACTGGGTGGAGCCTGGGTGAGAACAGATAGGGTTCAGAATCTGCCAGTCTGATTAGCTCAGCAACCCACAGCTCCCTCTGTGAAACACTGTCTCACTTATCATTTTGATCACTTATGCAGTCTTGCTTCATGTTAAAGTCCCAGTGCTGTTTTCTATCCTTGTTACATGGGAAATGAACCCTGTTTTAACAAGACTTTTAAAAGGATGGGTTTGAATAGGCTTTCTACTACGTACGTCTTGCTAAATTTACTGTCAGTCTAGATAGTGATGGCTGTGAAATTGTGACACTTACACCCACAGAGTATGTGGGACAATCTAGAAGTGGATTTTCAACACCCAGTTTCCTGGATTAATCCTTCTTCTGGCCTCTACAAAAACCTGATTGTTTTCCAGGAGATTTCAGACAAATTATATGAGATCTTTCCTCTAGGAAATGAGAAGACCAGAACTGTTGAAAAAGATTTTTTGACCTTGTTCTCTCTAGTTTGAGGCCATTTAGTAATAATTAAG